GGGCTGGGGATTCGAACCCGCCACCTTAGGTGTATGTGGCTGGCGCCTTAGCCACTTGAGCCACAGGCGCCGAGCCATGGCTATAATTCTTAAATATTATACTACATATAAGACTTTTCCTTCTAATTTTGCTCAACCTCTTCTCTGTCTAAATTGCCTTATTTAGCAATTATGGATCAGCTTTTCAAATATTGTCTGTCTAATCTGAGGGAAGTCTGATATATTGCCTCCTAAAATGCATTAGAATAAGTTTAGTGAGAAAGATCCCCGCCCAGTGGACTTACCTAAATATTTTAGCATCATCTTTTAATAAATATGCACTCTATGAGTAGCAATGAATGAACGAATAGGTTCTTGGGACTTAAGGTAATTATAATACAAACAATAGTATATGTTTTCCTGCCGCATTCTTACGTAGGAAGGGCTTCCAGAAAGTAGTTAATCCTGTAATCATGCTGACTCATCTGGTGTCGTAACACAAAGGTTGGGTCCAGAGACTGTACTGGCTGATACAGTGTATGTCTGGTGGTAACACACACAAATGTTGGTTTATGGAACGAAGACAAAATTTAAAGTATATGCAGCTGGAAGCTAGTCTGTGGGAAGTTCTTCCAGTCATGAGAACGTGGAATTATAGCAAGGGGTTTAGTCCTCATCGAATGATTCAGTCCAGATCTCAGCAATGCCCATTGCTAATGCTGTCCGGCACAAAGGGAAGTGTAATGGAGAAGCTGTCAGAGTGGAAAGCCACAGCATTATTAATTGTTTATGGTAACATTATATAACTTTCCCCAAATTGGAAAAACATATACTCATGTATACCTTTGCTGGGGCCCCTCTCAGGGCCTTGAAGTAGGCTGTGTAAAGTGAGGGGCCAAGACTACAGAAATTCTGAAAATAGAAATTCTCTTGTGTAGGGATAGTATGTGTAGGGCAGCCATTATGATTACACTGCATAATATGGCTGTCAGAGAAAGTGGTATAAAATCAAATTCATTTTTGGAAAGACATCTGGAGAACACATAGAGAACTAAAAATAGACCTGCCATTTGACCCTGCAATTCCTTTATTAGGTATATTCCCAGATGACCAAAAATCTCATTACAACAAAGATATTTGTATCAGAATG